TAAGATGGAGAGGTTTTGAGAAAGGGAGATGTTTTTCGGCTTATGGATAAATCGAAGATAACGTAGGAGGGAATCGATTGAGAAACGCTGGGCAAGTCCCTTACCGTTTTCTATGATTTCGATTAAAGTTGTGGTATACAGCTTGGTTTGGGCTAGGATTTTGATTGCAGATTTCGTCATTTGGGTATGTGATGTTGTTTCTGGGAAGGGGGTTTCTAAATTCAATTCACTTTGTTTCTGGTTTTTTGAAGTCATGGTTGAAGAAAGGAAAGACCAATTTGCAGAGGAGTTTTTGGAAGAGAAGAACTTTGGAGAGGATGAAGAGTTTGTGCAAAGAAAGGCTTTCTTTGAGAAATGAAGCGTGTTCAGGTGAAAGACGAAAAGCCTACGGCTAAGTTATGATTGATTAGATGGCGTTCCATTTATTAATGTTATTTGGAAACCAAAATACTGATGGTAATAATTGCGTTAGGGTTTATATATACTGTCTCAATTCAATGGGTGTAATTTAAATTTTGGAAGCCGAACCAAAACGGCTACCAAAATTTGGGGGCATTATTGACACCCATTTTGGTAATTGGGTTTAAACTACAATTGGGCTTGAAGTACAGTGACGTGGCAGAGGTTTGGACCGTGAGAAGAGACTGGGCCGAAGATGTGTGGTAATTAAATTGGGCTGAAGAACTTTATTATGCAACATGGATCAGATAATATATTTGGACTATAATTGGGGTAGCAGCGATGTTTCAGTTAAAGGAGAATTTAATTCTGCATGGATTATGTTTAAAGGTGCAACAGATAGAGTTGGTTTGGATAACCTAAAGTAACAAATAGATAAGGAGTAGATTACTGATAGATATCGATTAATTTATTTATTTGCATAATAATGTTTATCTATAGGATAAAGTTATTATTTGAAAACAGTATTTAGTTATTTGATAGAGTTTTGATGTAATTAGAATGCTTATGTATAGGTTTTTGTTAACGTTTTATTCTATAAATAATCAGAGAGCCATGTTGAGATAAGGGTCCAACACTCTCAGAATTATTATATTATTTTGTTTGCTTTCTCAAGCCTTTCCCAGAATATCATCCTTGTTATTTCTATCTCTTTCTTTCTCAATCTCTCTCAATATCTCGTTCTATCTATATCTCTCTCTATTTCTTTCTATATCTATTTCTCTTCCCTTTCTTTTCTTTCAATCTTTTACTATAATTAGTCACTATTAAAGTCTTTAAATTAAGACAATTATGAACTCGAAGAGGAGTTTTACTGTCCCCTTTTTTCCTCACAATCGTCTAAAAGTCAATGTTCTCAAAGGGACTGAAGTTGACAATTTACACTTGAACCATATAATTGGTTCTGGCACGCCTGCATACATCAATTTAGAATTGGATATAAGGAGCCGATTTTAGCGTCAACAATCAGTTGCGGGTCTTAATACTGCATTTATAACAAGATGGAAGTTATGTCCACCATTCCTCCTAACCTGACTACCACACAAAAATTTGATGATACATATTAAACTATAATTTCCAAGGGATACATTATTGGCCCTCATAGATATAGAAGTTTGTTGGGCAGGCTTAGCACTCATCTCGGGTTAGGCCCATATAGAAAATTTTCAGCCCAAGCCTAGCCCGAGCCTGCACTAAGCCCACCTCAAAAGAATTTGTGTGTAAAAAATAAATCAATTAATGTTGCACCCATAACTTGAACCTGAAACTTAAAGCATAAATCACAAACACACTACCAACTTGGCTAGCTATATATAATATTTTCGGGCTTGAGTTAGGCTTCGAGCTTCATCCATATCAACTCAAGCCTAGCCCGAATTGAATTCGGGCTCAAAATATATAGCCCAGACCCAAACCAAAATTAGAAAAATATTGCCCAAGCCCACAAAATTTCGGGCTAGGCTGGGGTTATTTCGGGTTGGGCCCGCTCGGGTTATTTCGGGTTGGGCCCGCCCCAGTTGCAACCCTAGAAAACAATCACTAAATAAGACGATTGAATTAGGCCAGCTTTGCTAAATCTTTCTCAGTTATGAATGTGTTACGAAAACCGTATGGAACTCTAGACGAAGTTGAATCAAAGCTTCTAATTGCATAGTCTTCTCGTCGTGCACAAAAACAATGACAAAACCGTCATCTCCAGCTTCCGAATTGAAGTATATGGGAAGAAACAGAGGGTCACCACCGTACCTCTGTTCGCCATAAATGGCGAGGTAAGCGACCTGGGTTTTTCCGGCCAAGCTTGTTCCATAAATGGCTGCTTTTAAGTTAATTTGATCATCCAGTTGGTTATAATTGTTCAGCGTGTGGACTTACCCAGTACTCTAGTTCGATCTCCGATGAGCATAGACATCAGCGCATCACTCCAGCGAATCCGGCCACCTCGTAGCAATCCGGCGGCGCTTCAGTCATGCGCGTCTTAGTTCCGGTACGACAAACTTCAAGAGACCTAAACAGTTAGTGTTATGGATCTATCCTGCTCAGGCCTAACTGTAGACGTTTCAAGTACGAACTAACCACGAACTGAGAGTTTCAGTGTCCTTGAACGCGAGCGAGTGCACAATGCTTCAGACATGGTTCGGTGAGTATCACGCTGACCAAACCAGACTCAACTCCACTTCGATAAGCAACCTTGGCCAGTTCGGCGAGCTTCATTAACATACTCACTTCTAATTTAGGTGAATCCAATTCCAGCGAGCTTCACAAAGACAACATTTCCGGTGAGCTTCATATTGCATTTTCCGCATGCTTCAGAATAGAGTCAATAGACCCAAGTGAAGGCACTCCATTGAAATCCAGAAAGAGACTGAATATAATTTGTCCTTTTTTGTATTTTCACATTTTATGTTATTTAATTATTTTTTAAAATTATAGAGAGAGGGGTATTCAGCTCCGGTACCAGTTAACAGACAAAAGGTACTAATTCGAACCTATTTTTATGTAGAGGGGTGGTTAACAAACATTAGGGATTATACATGCTATATGGATATTATGGGGGTGTTTTCTGCACGCGACCCTATAATGAAATGATAAACTAGTTCCTCTCTCATCAAAAGTCATCCATCCCGTTGATTTCCTCTGCCTACAAAGTTCATACAACACCAGAAACAACCTTGAATGGGAGACAACAAGCGTGAAAGATGTTGAAACCCTAAAAAACCAGTCAGTGAAACCCTAGATTTCCAAACAAACACCATGGTCGTTGCCACCTACCCTCCTCCAACCACCCTCTTCGCCGCTGCGGCCATGCCTGTCCCCCAAAAACTTCCAAACACGCCGACGAAACCCTAGCGACCTCTCTGAGATGAATTTAAAAAAATGGAGATGTGGTGGTAGGGCATGATTTGGTTGCAATGGTAGCGGAGAGTGGTGGTGGCGTCAGTGGATGCATGGTGGTGACGGTGTTTTACGTGCAAGCCTAATTTCTCGCAGCCATGACAGAGAAAGAGGTGGAATAGTTCAAGCAGTAATAGGTTTCTTTGTCATTGGTGGGAGAAAGGTGTTGAATGCACATATGTAAGATATGTTATTATTAACCAGCAATCATCAGTTTAAGAAAAGGTAGTGTCCGGTGAAGCAAAGAGAAAAAGGTGTTGACGAAGAGAGAATATTAGAAAGAAGATGAAGTATAATAGATTTTTGTCATCTGATCGAAGGACTCTTTTGCCAATTCAGTATATGTTCAGTATATGTTTGGAGCGCTAGAGTATATTTGAAGTGCCAATATCAGTTCCCAATTTTCAATTGTTCCCAAAATGATATAGTTTAACGTGACAACAAGTAATTGTTCTCGTTAGACTTACTGGCATATTAAATGCACTAATTGTGCTTGTTAGACTTACCTGGCATAATAAATGCACTAATTAATTTGAGATAAAACTACCCTCCCATCGTCATCGCCATTATTTCTATATTTGCCGAAAATTCTAAAAGTATTTTTCTTGAAGAACAATGTTATAGTGAATGTGTTTTATTTTTTTATTTATTTTTTTCTTGTCTTCAATTAATATTATATATTGTTAATCTTTCAAAAAAAACTATACCAAAGAAAAATATATGTTTATATATATTTAGAAGGTGAATTATATGGATGTAGGTTTTGACATAAAAATCATATGAAGGAAAAAAAAAAAAAAATTTAAACACAATACGAAAAGAAAAAAAAAAAAAAAATTGCAATTACAATTAGTATCGATGGTATTGAATGGCTCATGAAGTTTTGATAGTTCTTACATGCTTCATGTGCAAATCTTTCATTGTTGCATACAAAGATCAATATTAAAATCTAGCAAAAGCTAAAAGATATCACATAATTAATAAAAAGCAAATAAATAATTGAGAGCTAAGTGACCCAAAACTTTAAATTGGGAAGAGAGAGAGTGACAAATATATATTTCTATAATTGAAAGGGTAATTGTGGTATTAGAAGAAAAAAAAAAATTGGGGATAGATGTGTCTTTACTTGCTAGAGTTTTGCGATCTTTGTTATGCTGATTCTGACTTTTTAATTTCTACTTTTGAATCTGTAACTTACTATGAAAATGAGATTTTTTTGCTTGTTAAACAGCGGCAAATATGAGGAAGAACTCAGAAGGTTTTCATGGAATGAAGAGGACGCTTGTGCTCATATTTCTGCCTGTTTCCTTGGGACTGCTTCTCTTCATTTCTTCCTCTTATTACTTGTGGAGAAAACATACCAAGAAGAAAGGTAAATGGATTACTACGGAAAGTAGCTTGGTTGCACTTCTGTTTTTGTTTAAAAAAGACGAAAACAGAAGTGCAAGTAGAAAATTAATGGAAAAGAGTGATAAGCTGATATAAAATGAACTAGTCTAATTCCTTTGTGTTAATTTTACCAACACATCATTGATGCAACTCTCAGTGACTTAACTTAAATAACATAGAAATCAGTACATTTTGTTCTACAAATGTTATATTAGTACTCATTCAATTATTTGTGTAAATTTATAATTGTATTCAGGTCTCAAGCAGAAGCAAAAATATCGGGGAATGTTACTTTTGGACGACACAACTAATTCAAGCAACCAGAAAACTCCAAAATCAAATAACCATGAACCTAGCGGGATCCTAGAATTGAAATTCTATGATCTACATACTATAGCAGCGGCAACGGACAATTTCTCTGTCAATAGAAAGCTTGGAGAAGGAGGTTTTGGGCCAGTTTATAAGGTAGTCAATCTTTCACCAAGTATTTAAAATTTTTGCGGTTGTTTTATCTGCAAATATCAGATAAAATAACATGCAAGTCCATCTTCAAGTCTAAGAATTTCTTGGGAATTCGGTTTCAAAATAGTATTCATTTCCCCAGTAAATTTAAATACCTTCCATTACTTAGAATTTAGAAATGTTTGTTTTGGAACAGAGGTTTCCAGATAGCTTAAATTACATAAGGCTATCTGTGTACTTCTCAAGTAACAATAGCTTTTAGAGAATTGTTGCAATGAGACAGATGGTTCTTAATTCATATCATATACCTATTGTATCAGTATTTGTTTCAGTTAATTTCAACCTACAGGGTGAGCTATCGAATGGACAAGAGATAGCAGTCAAAAGGTTATCAACGAACTCAGGACAAGGAGTCATTGAATTAAAAAATGAGGTGTTGTTGATTGCAAAACTTCAACACAGAAATCTTGTGAGGGTTCTAGGTTGTTGCATTGAGAATGAGGAAACAATGCTCATCTATGAATATATGCCAAATAAAAGCTTGGACTGTTTTATTTTTGGTATGAACCCTTCGTTGTACATAAATGCATTTGTTACTTTTATTTCAGTTAACAATGTGTTTATTTTAATATATCTATGTCTAATGAAATGCAAATTTAAATCAGATGAAACTAGAAAATCATTGTTGGATTGGAAAAAACGACATAAAATCATTGTTGGGATTGCTCGAGGGATCCTTTATCTTCATCAAGACTCTAGGTTAAGAATAATTCATAGAGATTTGAAAGCCGGCAATATTCTTCTAGACGATGAGTTGAACCCAAAAATCTCGGACTTTGGTATAGCAAGAATATTTGGAGGAAATCAAAGCGAAGCAAATACCAACAGAGTGATGGGAACATAGTAAGTGTCAAGCCACATATAAAATCTGCAAGAATATCCTTCATTTCTGCATTTCCTTTTCATTTGTAAAAAAAATAAAATAAAAAAACACATTGTTGTAGAAAGAAGTTTATCAACTATGTTTCAATGGTCCTTTCATAAGTTGGAGTACATTTTAGTTTTGCAACTATACTCTTTTCATGTTTTGGTATGCAGCGGCTATATGTCACTTGAGTACGCTCTAGATGGTCTCTTTTCAGTGAAATCTGACGTCTTTAACTTTGGAGTCATAGTATTAGAGGTTATCAGTGGCAAGAAGAGCTATGGTTTTTTTCATGATGATCCCTACTCAAATTTGATAAGTTATGTAGGTAAAATATTTATATTTTGTTGATCTTCCATGTGTCAAAATTTACCTTTATTGTACTAGATTTCCCTTACAATAATGAGTTAGAACTGTTTCAGGTGTGGAAGCTTTGGAGCGAGGATAGGGCCTTAGAGATAATAGACTCTTCATTGGGTGATTCAAGTCCCACGCGTGAGATTCTCCGATGCATTCAAGTGGGGCTCTTGTGTGTCCAAGACAGCGCCATGGACAGACCAACTATGTCGAGTGTTCTTTTCATGTTAAGTAACGAAACAGATCTTCCATCACCGAAGCAACCAGCATTTACTGTTCCAAGAAGTCAGAACAGGTCTACCGGAACAAGGTCATCTTCTATAAATTCAGTTACAATTACTGCGCTTGAAGCCCGATAAACCTAGTAGTAATTGTAAGAAGTTCGTATATATATTGTATACTTGTAACCTACAAGCAGCCAGACTACTTATAGTTGTATTGGGAGAAACGCGAATGCACAACTTTGTGGTATGCTGCATGTAGCTAGATTGTTACAATTAGGGACTAGATACATGTGCCAGAACAATGTTTTGGCCTCAAATATAAAGGGATGCATATTGATACTGATTTAGTACCTCTTCAATTCATTTGGGATTTCTACATATACAACAGATAATTTCATATTTCCCAAACTAACATGTGCCAAAAATATTTATTAATCAAATTCAGAAGATCAAGCCTCGTATGCTTACCGAAAGCAACCAGAGTTTAGTAGGAAGCTGATCAAAATCTTCACCAAATGCCAGCATTTCAATTGAAATATGCTCCATGTCCTACGGCTGTAGTTTAGTAGTATATTTTCGCATTTTAACATTAAAGCTCGAGGATTCAAGTTTTCGTAGGGATATGTGAGTGTGTGGTGTGAGTGTGTGGTGTGAGTGTATTTTTTCATTCCAGACCTAAACTGTTTCAGATGTTTCAAGTGTATGATGAGTTAAAATTTATCTTTTATTAGCATTTTATGTCCCTGTAATAATACTTGCGGTCCCATTTATTTATTTTTTCTTTTCTAGTGATTGTTGAGAATTAGATTACCACTTGAGGACACTGTTTGGGGATAATAATAGAAAGAGTGTATTGCTACACAAGTGAAGATGTAACAAAAAGCTCTCTCAATTTAGAAAGAGTAGTTATTACACCTCAAAATATTTCAACCGTTTTTCCCTCTCTTTTCAGTCTATTTATAGATCTTTATAATTGTTCTATAAGCTTCCTGCTTAAATTTTCTCGCTGGGCCGATCCCTTGGGCTCGTCCTAAATATGGGCCCACTTCCTTTGTTCTAAGATTGGGTTTTAGGATTGATCTTTTGGTACTGGGCCTGATAAGTGATAATCTGTCCGGACCAAGTATTCTTCCCAGACCAGTTTATAGTAATCTGGGTCATGTCCGGTCCAGGTTATTTTTGGTATCCTTATCTGCTCCCATAATCTCTTCCTAATTGATTAGGGTGAGATTATCGAAGAGACTTAATCATGATGAGACTGCTTGAGGCAGTGACGTGGGGAAGCAAACGGGTGGCTCAGAGACCCACGTTTTGAAATTTGAAACACCATCATTGCCATGAATCTTTGGATACTGAACTAGTCTCCCTTTAAAACTTCAACCTTCCATCTTTTGCTCTCACTCAATCTTTTTCATTTTTATCCTTGAGCATCGTCCCTGTCAACTATCAATCTTCTCTAGTGAGCTCTCGCTGTCTTCTCCGATGAGTTCTCCCTTTGCGATTCTTCATTCTTCACTTTGCTGCGGTGTATTCTGCAGATCTTCTTCCTGAGGTTAGTTCCAATCCCGAGTTATTTTTTTGAGGATTTTGCTCTTTACCACTTTTCTTAAAAGAAAGAAACCCTAGAATTGAGAATTTCCTCCATCATTATAATGGCTTCTGACTTAAAGGCTCTTCGTTTAAAGAACGAAATCCCTAACGATGTTTCCATTAAGGTCTATCCCGAGGACTTAGATGAGAGATTTGGTGAGGGTCTTCTTCCCGGAGAGGTCCTCTTTTATGTCCTTCACCTTAATGTAATTAGATTTTCCTTGCATCTGTTCTTCTATTACGTCTTTAGCAAATTGGGGCTTGCCCCTCTTCAAGTCAACCCCAACTTCCTTAGGGTAATATTAGTTCTATTGATCTTAAATCGTGACAGGAATCTAGATCTTGACATCATAGATCTTTTTCTCTGTTATCGAGTAACTAAAATCAGAACAAATGACATGTACTTCCACTTTTTTCCCCTTGAAAAAGGGTCCTTATGCACCGACAAATTTGCCTCTGAAAAGGGTTAGAGAAACAATTTGATCGGGGTCAGTGGGGCTTGGCGAATACCATTCGCTCAGACTTTCCCTATCTTGACCACTTTTGGAGAATGCTCTGTTCCCTTATATAAAAAACCTAAAAAGCATAAGAACGACTGCCTTTGTGAAACTTGCCTTCCTCTCTTCTGCACTTTCCTTTGTTGTTGCCTTCACATTCCTCATGATGAATTGGTTTACAACGTTTACAGGGCTAGACTTGATCTTCTGCAGGAGAAAGTACTAAACGGCATTCCCTCTGCTACCGATCTGCTCACTCCGGACAACCTTTCTAACATTTCAGTTCTTGGTGCCACCATGGAACATATTCAGATTCCTTCTTTCAACAGAAGGAGGTCCCCTTCTATAGCTGCTCCTTCAGTTACCCTAGCCACCTCTGTAGCCATTCCAACCGTCCAGGTTATGGCTTAGAATGCTGGGTAACCTGCCCTTCAACCCTCTGCATCCACTTTAGTCGGATTACAAACCACTTTGTTAATTGACGGTTCCTCTGAAATTCCAAATGAAGTTTCTCCACCTACTGCTTAGAACGCTGAGGGATCTTCTCAGAACGCCGATGGATTTCCCTTGTCCGAACTAATGTTTCGGAGAAGAGCCTGGGCTAAAGACCTTAGCTTAAGGGTGACTCTGACCAAAATGACTTCCTTCAGCTCGAAGGGCTCGAACTTACAGGGTCACCACTACTTTCCCTTCACCTTAGATATCTATTCCGGAGGGTGAATCAGCCAAAACTTTTGTCTCTTCCCCAGCAGTGGTTCCATGGCGCCCATTGCTTAAACGGGAGGATGGGTTAATTGTGGTCCCTACAAATACTGTGTTCAAGGATCCTATCACCTCATTTGCTTTCTATAAGGGCATTTGGACCCCTCAGGACATTGAGAACCCGGAAAAAATGACCTGCAATAAAATGTACCATCACTTTCCTACTACTGCTGTTGAGGTTGCTCTCTTTTCTTTTGCACTATCTTTCATTTAATTTTCTTATTCAGATCACCTTGCACTTGTACTTACCAGTACGCTTATGTCTTTGTGTAAACTCTGTTTGGGATGATCACCGTTTAGAGAAATCTTGAAATGACAAACAGGAGAGTTAAAGCTCTCTCTTTTGGCCTTGACAGATCTGTTAAAGGATTAAAGGCAGCTGAAGCCAAAAACACGGAGATGTTGGTTAAGCTGAATGAATCGGAGAAGGAGATAGATGCTCTGAAGGCTGAGAGGGATGCTCTGAAGAATGAGTGAGATTCTCTTCACAATGAGCTGGATGTCTTAAAAATAGAGAAAAATGTCATGCAGATTGAGAGAGATGCTTTGAAAGTTGAGAAGGGGACCTTCAACGCACTCTAGTTGCTGAACGGTTGACCCATTCCATTTCAGAAGAAAATTTCTTGAACGAACGCGCCACTCTGCTTAATGTCATAGACAGAGTTAATGGTGGTATGAAGGCTCTTCACGTTTGTTTTTCTCGGATCGGGGCTCTTAGATATGCCGAAGGGTATAGAGATGGTTTTATTGACCGATTTCCTCCCGAAGGCGAATCAAGCTCCTGTGTAAGTCCAGATAAGTTAGACACATCTCTAGATATTGATCCACCGAACGTTTATAAGGATCCACTCCCTGCTTCGAGAATATATTCGTTGAGTGCAATGAGATTGCAACCTCATGGGTCATCCCTTTTGTTCGTCCTCTGAGTATTTCTCCTATTACCACCATTGCCCCTCCAGCCATTGTTGCAACTGAAAGAGCTCTGCCAGCTGATGAGATCATCCACATTGACTCTCCCTGTAGAGGCGAGGAAACAATCAATGATGGGGAAGGAAATAGTGAACCGACTGGTGGTGACAAGGCAGCCAATGATGGTGGAATGGGCAATGGATCAGGACTAGGAGAAGATGTGATAGAATAGAGTTCTGCTGGCTTTTATACTTGTTTCTTTTCATTTTAATATCACTCCTTGTGTATCAAGAACTCTTTTATGATGATGAATGAAAAGATAATTTTATTTTACAAAGCATCCATACTTCAGTATGTGCTTAAATGAACTGACAAGTTAATTTTTCCATTTGATTTTTATTTCGCGCAAGTGTTTAATGTTCGGCTTATAGTGCCATTTGCCACTTACTTGGCTAAGTGCTTGGCGCATGGCTAGAATGCCACTAGCCACTTAACTTTTATCTTTTGCAAATGTTTGGCGTTCGGCTAATAATGCCATTTGCCACTTACTTAGCAAAGTGCTTGGCACTCAACTAGAATGCCACTTGCCACTTGATTTTTTATTTTGTGTAAGTGTTTGGCGTTCAGCTTATAGTGTCATTTGCCACTTACTTGGCTAAGTGCTTGGAACTAGGCTAGAATGTCACTTGCCACTTGACTTTTATTTTATACAAGTGTTTGGCGTTCGGCTCATAGTGCCATTTGCCACTTACTTGGCTAAGTGCTTGGCGCTTGGTTAGAATGCCATTTGCCACTTGATTTTTATTTTGTGCAAGTGTTTGGCGTTCGGCTCATAGTGCCATTTGCCACTTACTTGGCTAAGTGTTTAGCGCTCGGTTAGAATGCCACTTGCCACCTAATTTTTATTTTGTGCAAGTGTTTGGCGTTCGGCTCATAGTGCCATTTGCCACTTAGTTGGTTAAGTGCTTGGCGCTCGGCTAGAATGCCATTTGCCACTTGATTTTTTATTTTGTGCAAATGTTTGGCGTTCGGCTCATACTGCCATTTGCCACTTACTTGGCTAAGTGCTTGGTGCTCGGCTAGAATGCCACTTGCCACTTGACTTTTTACTAAGTATTCTTTGCTCAATCAATTTTTGAAACAAAATGAACTCTTTTTATAAATCTCGACAAATCTATACACTTGCAAGATCACAATTTTAAATGAACATCGTTTAGAATAAGACTCAATCTTTACTGGTAGTACCTTTTTAGAGACGTGACATTCCATGGTTTATTGACCAATTTTCCTGCTATGGTCTCTAAACTGTATGGCCCCTTTCCTATGGCTTCTGCAACTCTGTATGGACCTTCCTAGGGTGATATCATCTTTTTGACAATTCCTACCTTCTTTTTCAGAACTAGATTACCTAGTGTAAAGTCTCTATGCTTCACTTTCTTGTTGTGGCTATTCACCAGGGTTTGCTGATAAGACGTGAGTCTTATTACTGCTGTATCTCTTTTCTCTTCCAGTAAATCGAGGTTAAATTTCAACATACTATCATTCTGCTCTCGATCCCATGCCAAACTTTGAACAGTCAGAACTAAATGCTCTACCAGTATCACTGCCTCGGTGCCATATGTCATAGCGAATGGACTTTCACTGGTTGGTCGTCTAGGTGTTGTTCTATAAGCCCACAAGACGTTCGAAAGTTCACCAACCATTTACCCTTTTTATCTTCAAGCTTGTTCTTGATACAAGTAAAGATTGTTCTATTTGTTATTTCGGCTTGACTTTTTGCCTACGGATGGCTAACCGTTACCAACTTTTGATTAATTCCATACTCTTCTAGCAGGCTCCTTACTTGCTTACTATCCAGATTGGTCCCATTATCCATAACGATCGACATTGGCACACCAAAACGACAAATGATATTGCTCTAGATGAAGCTTTTTACTTTAGTTTAGGTTACATTGGGATACGGTTCAGTTTCTAACCATTTAGTGAAATAATCCGTTGTAAGTAGAACGAATTTGTTCTGTGATCTGGCCTTTAGCAGAGGGCCAACCATATCCATCCCTCATTGCATGAAAGGACATGGTTTGGCCATTACGTGCAAGTCTTCAGGTGGTTGGTGGATCAGTGGTCCAAACCTTTGGCATTTATCGTATCTTCTAGAGAATTTTTCTGCATCCCGCGACATGTTTGGCCAAAAATATCCTTGCGTCATTGCTTTATGCGCCAAAGATCTTCCTCCCGAGTGATTTCCATATACACCTTCATGGATAGCTCGCAGGATCTGCCCAGCTCTTAAGGGGGTAACACATTTCAAACATGGGCCCGAGAAAGACCTTCTATACAATTGGTTATGGATAATGGCATACTTTGTAGCATTTGATTTGATCTTCCTTGCCTTATCTCTTTGTTCGGGTAACACACCATCTCGTATAAAAGTCATGATTGGATCGATCCAACTCGACTCGTACGGTATGACATTCACTTGTCGCGGATTCGTGTCGAGCGGTTATTTGAAGATGGAAGGCTAAGATAACACATCAACTGGAATCACCCTTACCAGTGCTTCTCTAGAACTTGACGCATTGCAGGCTAACCGATCGGCATCCTCATTATATTTTTTTAGTAACTGAATGAACTTAATCTAATAAAAACTTTTTGCTTCACGCATAACGACAGAACGGTATGCTTCCATTGTTTAATTTTTGGTACCATATTCCCTAGTAACCTGCCGAATGATCAGTTGTGAATCGCTAAAAGCAACTGGACTTTTGACCTTCAGTTATTTGGCCAGCCTCAGTCCTGTAAGCAATGCTTTATATTCTGCTTTATTATTAATCGCTTTGAACTTAAGTCTGATTGCTTGGCTCAGCGTGGTGCCTTCTGGTGTCTGCAGTTTAATCCCAATGCTTGCCTCCATTTGATTTGAAGAGCCATCAACGAAAAGCTTCCATGATGAGCTCCAAGGTTTTCTTCCATATCTTCTACATCACATTCCAACAGGAAATCAGCCACCGCTTACCCTTTTATGGCTGTTCGGGATTTATACGTTATATCAAACGAGCTCAACTCTATGGCCCATTTTGTTATTCTTCCTAACAGATCTGGCTTATGCAGGATCACCCTTATAGGAAAGGTGGTAAGAACGATGATGGGATGGGATTCAAAATAGTGCCTCAGTTTCCTCTTCGCATTCACCAATGATAGGATTACTCATTCGGCCTTTGAATACTTTCTTTTTGGCTCAACCGTTGTCTTGCTAGAGAACACTGGGAATTGCTTGCCTTCTTCACACCGCACCAGAACGTCACTTATTACAATGCTGGACACACCTAGATACATGAAAAACTTTTCACTTGGTTTTGGGGCAGATAAGACCAGAGGGTTCCGCATATACTCTTTTAACCTGGTCAGCACCTCTCATTGTTCGTCCCCCAGGCTTGTCTTATGTGGCCTCTTATTGTATCGAAGAATGATTTGCAACGATTTAACAGCTTAATGAATCGACTTAGTGCTACTATTCGCCCGATGAGTGCTTGCACTTCCTTTACTGTTCTCAGTTCTACATTTTTTTATCAAGGCTTCTGCTTCGGCTAGGCTGATTTCAATTCTTCTGTTATTGACCACATGCCCCAGGAATTGCCCAGAACCCGCACCAAACGAGCACTTGGTCGGGTTAAGTTTCATACCGTACTTTCTTAATACCTCGAACACATCTTGTAAGTGTTGCAAATGATGGTCATTCCTTTTACTTTTCAATACCATATCATCAATATAGGCCTCTACAGTTTTGCCCATTTGACTTTTGAAAATCCTGCTAACCAACCTTTGGTAAGTGGCTTCAGCATTTTTTAATCCAAACGGCATGACCTTGTAGCAATAGATCCCTCGCTCGGTGACAAAAAAAGTTTTTTCCTCATCGTTCAGATCCATAGGGATTTGATTGTAACCTAAATAAGTATCCATAAAAGTAAGCCATTCATACCTAGTAGTGGCATCCACCATCTGGTCAATTTTCGGTAACGGGAAGCTATCCTTCGGACAAGCTTTGTTCAGGTCAGTGAAATCGATACAAACTTTCCATTTCCCATTCTTCTTTTGCACTACAACAACATTTGAGAGCCAAGATGGGTACTGAACTTCTTTGATGAATCCTGCATCCAACAATCTGTCAATTTCATCAGTTATAATTTGATTGCGTTCTGGAGCGAACCTCCTCTGTTTCTGTCTAACAGGCTTGACGTTTGGATCACATTAAAGGAATGACATGATACAGAGGGATCAATTCCTAGCATATCTGAATGGCTCCAAGCAAACACATCTGTGTTCTGAGACAAGAAATAAACTATCTGCCATTTCTCTTCTTCTGCAAGCCCTGATTCGATCCTCGTGGTTCTATCCAGCCTCAGAGGATCGATCTGCACATCCATGAGGGGTTCTTCAATAAGCACCGAAGGTTCTTTCTCCTCCCTAACCTCTTTGGGTGGAGGCCCCTGTAATTGTTATCTTGAACTATCAGATCGGATGGGCGCTTTCCCCTTCCCCACGGCTTTCAACGTTACAGAATAGCAATCCTTGGCTGCGACCTGATCCCCATGGATATTAATCACTTTGCTTCCATCTGGGCTCAAGCATCTCATCACTTGGTGCAAAGTCGATGGAACACCTTGGACCCTGTGAATCCACCTTCTTCCCATCAAGAGATTATAGGACGGGTGAATTTCAACGACCATGAAGCTCTTCATCAATTCTCTCTCAGCAGCAAACATCGGCAGCTCCACCATATCAATAGGCTCTACCTGCTTCCCATCGAATCCCAACAGTTGATTTCCCGTGGGTTTGAGCTTTTCTAGTTCAATCTTGAGTCGGTCAAATGTTATTCTTGGTATGACATTTGCCCTACTCCCTGGATCAATTAAGACTCTTCGGATCAAGCATTTTGCTACCCTTAAGTTAATGACCAGGGGATCTTCATGAGGGATCTGAACTCGCAATAAATTCGTTCTGTCAAACATTATTGGAACTGAGGTGTTTTGTTGGTGCAGAGCATTTACACTGCCTTTTCTCCTCTTCATTTGTGCTTGACGAAGACGCGTTCGGAGCAATTCTTCTAATTCATCGGTCGGCTCAGGCCGGCCATGAATTGCATTTATTATCCGAATAGGCTGAGCGTTATGGTAGTTCGGCTTCTGATTTTTTTCAACTTGCTCAGCCGGTCGGTTCTGCTCCACCGCTGATCCTTGAATGTACCCAGTGAATTTTCCTTTTGCAATCAGCATCTCCACTTGTCTTCTTAAATTCTTGCATTCATTAGTCCGATATAATACCCCTAATTTTAAAATGATAGTCTCAGTATTTAATTAATTGTTTTAGTGGATTTTTAAATTGTTTATTAGATTATTTGGTTATTGGTTTAATTGTTTAATTGTTTACGTGAATGATTTGTATTCATTTAAATTGTATGCTTATGTGGAAATTGAACTAATTGTTTTATGTGTTAAGTGTTTAGTTTTAATTAAATATTTAAATTAGATGTTTATTTTATTTTAAGGACTTGGGCTTGGATAGTAGTAATAGACCAACGGTTTTGGTCACATAGATTACTAGGACAGGAGGTTAAATGGGTTCGGTTAATACCCATGAATGGTTATATATATATATATATATATATATATATATATATATATATATATATATGGATATAAGGTTAATTTAATTATTAATTATTATTAATGATTAAATTAGTATCATTTTTCATTATATATGTATTATATAGTTTTAGGGTTTTATATATTTTTATGAAATCACGGTGTGGGATAGCCGACTTATATATATATATTTATGTTATATTTTATTTTATTTTATTTTATTTTCTTTTCTGTCTCCTCATGTAATTAGAATTAGGGTTTGTTTGTTTTTAAGCCTATATATATATATCATTATATGTCGGCCAAGGGGTGCCCCTTCCGGTACATTTTCCCCTTATTTATACATTTATTTGTTGAAAAAAAATATACAATAAATTGCGTGCACAAAAGTATTTTGTATAAAATATACTTTAATTTGTATTATCTAACTTTCTTTGTAAAATTTTCTAGTATAGACAATTGTATTATATTTTATTTGAAAAAAAAAAAAACAATAAAATCAACAGTATTACATCTGAAAAGCTTCTTTTTCTTACAAATTTTCGTTCAGTAGTAAACGTTAATAACTATATATTCGTATTGAAAAATGATTTTTTGAACTTAGTAGTGGTAGTTAATTTTTAAACGTACTATTTTTAATTGGTTATTTGTGCAACAAATAAGAAAATGAGACCCTCCACTTACTTGTGTTTAGTATAAATAATCAATAAAAAATTATTTGGTTAGATCTGCTCTTTTAATTGATCAATTGTGCAACAAATAAGAAAATGGAACAAAATTATTCGATTAGACAATTTACTACAAATATTCCGTGTAAGTATCAATACAACATATAAATGTGTATATAATATAAAAATGTCTATCTAATCATACATCATATATGCATTATCTTGGTTTAGTATTTATTATTTATGACCAAATTATTGTGAGGTAGGTAGACATTACTGTCATCCTAAAGATTACAAATTTCCCACTTGGCAAGTGGGAGTTGGCAAAAAAACATATAAAATTAGAAACACACAACACCCGTTTTAGGAAAAAATAAAAAGAACTAAAAAACACCGGTTTTCATATCTAGTCACTTCCAATACATTTACTATTTTCGTCTTAAATTAAATGTCTTATTTAAAAAATCGTGCCTCACACGAAAGGAATAATATAAGTACAGCTTCGACATGTCTTGGTGCCAATACTGAACCTACTCCGCCCCGCAGTGGACTGACTCACTGTTTTTCTTGACTTTCATGCACTGGACTTCTGATTTTTTATGTTATAAATGCCATAAATCATTTCAGATGTTCTTTAGGCAGTCATAATTAACGAAAGTAAAAGACTAAATTGCATTAAGGCTTGATTTGTCTAGACGTAAAATATTTTAAAATTTTATTTTATTTTTAATATACTTGGTTGTTGTAAAATATTTATAAAAAAAAAAATTAAAACTTAAAAAAAAAAATTCATCTTTCAATTTTTGACATTATTTTACATGTTTTATCGATGAACTCGACTTCAACTTAAATAGACCTTTGCCAAATATTAAAAAAAATAAAAATAAAAAATATTTTACTTAAGAATTTTTTTTTTTTAAAAAAAACAATTTACATTGAAACAGAGACTAATTTATTCTCTAAAACTTTCGCTCCTAACAAAATACTTACAAAACTATTGTGAATGTCAAAGTGATATTTAGGTATTTAATGCAATTTAACTAAAAGATGCTAAAAAACGAAAAGGTCGAAACCTACTTTTCACCAAATATTAATTGATGATCGAATAGTTGAACATTCATTTGCTCTACTTCATCCACACACAAAAAAAATGGAAATTAAAGAAATCGTTGCTCTAATGTGTGAAGAGAAATATAATACAATCCAAGCTCAACAACATCTACGCGGAGGTAAAAATCTTGTCTGTCTTCATTTTGATTGTACTGTCTAATATCATTTAGCTCACCAAACCATGCATAGCAACCGCGTCCCCCAACATTGATATCGGCACTATCATACCCCGTGCAGTTACACTTGTTCAAGCACTCCTTTTCACATTCTTGTAAGCTCACGTTCTTATACAATTTTGATATTCTAGCCTCTGGAATCTTCACATTTCCTAGTTTTATAAATCCTTCACCACCACCCTTCCCACACCTACCCGCCTGCCTCTTCTCCTTCTCCTTCTCCACACACCTTATGAACCAATCATTAGGGTTCGAACCCAGGCAAACAAGTGCACTCCATGGCATTGTAAGAGTTGCATATGGCTGACATTCCACACCGTGAGTATTGGTTACAACGATCTTGCGGTGCCACAAAAACTTAGCCCATTCTTTAGTATCCGGTCGCCATATCGCTCGTTGGACAGTTCCGAACGGTAATAACACAAGTCTTTGAAAAGTCGAAGTATTTGGCACTGTGATACCATACGATTCCTAACAATTCCATCATAATAAAATGTACATTAATGATAAGTGTCCAATAATTTTGCATCCACTTCATTTTAATCTAGATTGTGTGGATTACAATATATATATATATATATATATATGTGTGTGTGTGTGTGTGTGTAACTACTCAACTGTTTGTTAATCATTTTTGCCAGATTGGCCTAGCAATTTCAAATATTAGGCAACTGAATTCAAACAAACGAGGATATATATATATATATATATACCTCATCTTGATTGTTTGTAAAACTCCAATTAAAGAGAGCAGCTTCATGTTGGAAACGGGGTATTAAAAACATAAACTTTGAATGAGATTTTGAATAAATTCCACTAAGAATTTTTTACGGATCTATAGACGAGCACGTTTCTCTCCGTAAGGAGATGAATGTGGTATATTTACTTTCTCAAATCCGTTTCCGGGTGAATGAGAAATTAGTTCCAAAGTAAGGTGATAAGTCTAAATATGTTTGCAAAATGTGGGAAATATTTGTCCCACATCGGAAAAATATTAAAGCCAAAAGGCAAGATGAAGCCTATATAAACCTCCCATTGGATTTATTCCAATACACTCCAATTCAGAATCCTTTTCTCTAATTCTGAATTTTCTCCTTCCTCTCTCTTCTTCTATAAGTGTCTCTGGGTTCGAGCCCTTGCTTTTGGGTTTGAGCCTTAGTCAATCACTTCAAGTCAGAAAGTACTACACCGAGCCGGTTCGCCTATTCTTTTGGTTTGTAATGTTACTACCAAAGGAATTAAAAGTTGTTGTATCCTGTGAGATAGATACCACTGAGTCCGTTAGTACCATAGCGGGGCGAATCTGTCTTAAAGATATAGAATCAAATTCTAGCCTCGACTTATTTTTAGGTTCTTTTATCTTTTTTTTTTTAATTTTTTATTTTATAAGATATTATATATAGATTATTATTTTACAATAATAATTATATATATATATATATATATATATATATATATATACACACACACATTATATTTTCAGATAATATTTAAATAAATAATACTATTTTAATACCCCTAATTTAAAAAGGATAGTCTCGGTATTATTTTAATAGTTTTAATTGCATTTAATTATTTAGTTGTTTTCTTGGCTAATTGTTTACTTGTTTAATTGATTTAATTATTTGTTTAAATTGAATTGAATGTGATGATGTGTATTTATTTAGGAATTTAATTGTTTTATTTTTATTTTTATTTTATTTATTTTATTTTTATATTTTTAAGGAATTGGATATGGATAGTAGTAATTGACCAATCAATTGGACTGATATGGACTACTTGGATAAGGGGTTTAATGGGTACGGATAATTACCCATGTATAATATATATATATATATATATATATATATATATATATATATATATATATATAAGGAAAGTCCTTAAATAATAATCTGATATATATTTATATATTATATATAAAAAGGAGTACACATAGATTATACGTAACATATATTTAAGTTACCTTTTTAATATTTAAATTTTATTTTATTTTATTTTAGTTTGTCTTGGAATGGAAAAAAAAATTAGGGTTATTTTAGTTGTCTATAAATATATAACTATAGAGTTGTGAAAGAGGTTAGAAAATATATTACGTACTATATTTTAGAGAGAGAAAGAAGGAAGAGGAAGGAAGAGAAAAAGGAAGAAGGAGGTTAGGGTTTTTATCAAATCCCTAAAGACAAGTTTTAATTTTTCTCTTCTCTTTTGGTTCATACCCTATGCATGCTAGATTAATTCTAGGTTCTTTAAATAAATTAATTGAATCTAATTATATGGATTTATTTGAAAAATTCAGTTCATGTGTTTTAATAATGGGTTTGAGATAATTTTCATATTTTGATAAATTAAATTTTCATGTGTTGTATTATAGTTTGGGTTTTAATTATGTTGTAATATATTATGGGTTTAGTATGGAGTAATTTATATAATTCAGATGGAATTAAATTTGGTTCACACGCGCCGAACGAGGAAACCATTGATAGTTGATTTTAAAAAAAAACAAACAAACAGATTGTAATTTAATGGTAATTAGAATTTCTATTTGTTTACTTCATGCACGCGTAACGAGGAATTCTTTTAGCTTAGTATGAACCAAATTAGCATGAGCATGCATCAGTTATATGCATGTACGAATTCTGTATGTTTTCCTTCCATGCACGCTGAACGAGGAACT